TCGCATTTTCTCTGTCTATATCTTCAATCAGTCGAAAAATCTAATAGGAGTATATTTTTCCTAATTTTCTATTCTAAGTGATGAACCAGACACTAATGCCATTCTGTAACAATCCTGTTTATTTTTAAGATACGTTTAAAATTTAATTTTTACCAGCCCTGTTATTTCAATAAACAGACAGTCCTATTCTGGATGCAAAATTTTAACAAACTTGTTAATAAAAAGTTAAACGGTACTGTTTATTTTGAATATGGTTAGGATTTCCTAGGTATAACTTGACCAAAATTTAAGTTAAAAGTAAGTTAAGTTAGAATAAATTGACAGTTCTAATTTCAAAAATAAGAAGAAAAAAGTAATCTGGTAAAAATCATGTGCAAGACGGATTGTCGTCGATAGTAATTTGAGATAATAGTAAAAAAAATAAATATGAAGAGATAATAATTATGTGTTTAATGATTTAAAAATAAATGCGACAAGGAAGGCGTTACTTTTATTAAACTTGGAAATAGAAGGGACTGGTAGCAGAAAAGCAAAAGCGCAAAAATTAATCCTGTAGAAGAAAAACTGTTCTCATTTTATTTTTTACGCCAAATCAGTAATTATGTGTACATTACTACTGTAATACCGTTTTTGCTTATAAAATGGGGCCGCTGTATGATTATATGGTAGTGCTACAATAGCCATAATGTATATATGCATTCACTGTTCTCCACTGTCTCAGGAAAACCATAATTTTGCATAAATTGGGCTTAACTGCTTTCTCGGTCTACCTAATTAGTTAAAAAAACTATCCATTAATTATTGTGCATATCATCTAACACCGGCTAACTAATGGTTGGCTCATGCCCAGGGCAGTAATCCTTCCAATGTTACCTTGGTAGCTTGCCTGGCCCAAAAAGTGTAGAGTACAAAAAACGTTTAAATGAGCTGGGATGGACGAACAACGTTCGTATTCCCTGATGAATATGCGGAACTACGGCGTTTGGCAGAAATTGAACAGTTTCCTTATTTTAGTGTAAAGCTTTTCAAGAATTGCGGTTCCGAAACTTCAAATGTATTACTCATATCCCGACGATTACAGTGAAAGCGTTTTCTCTCGACTCTAGGCAAATAAAATTAAGAAATTATTTGACTCCTTTCTCAAAAATATCACAATAATTACCTTCAAACTTGTTCATGTATCATTATTTTAACTTTTCTGGCGTAAACATTTTGCGGCGTCGCGTCGCTTCTATCGTTAAGATTTAATCTTCATTCTTCTTCGATCTTCTTCTGATTTTCTGAAATAACATTATTTCAAAGCGTGTTCATCAGTTGTACACAAAATTACTATTAATTGAGATACAGTCCATCATTTTACACAAATTTTTGTTCTACAAATGTAAAAATTGTAATTTTAATTTGTCAAATAAATAAATAAAATTAATTTACTTTTACCTACATTACTTTCACCCAGTGTATCCACATTTATAGATTATATACTTAATAGTTAGGTATGCATCGTATGTAAAATTTTTCCTCTTCCTATGAGTCACATCTTTATCTCTCAGAACTGCGTCAAATCACTTCCTATTTTATTTTGTATATGCTGTTATTAAGTATTATTTTGTTATATTTTTAAATAGCAACAACCGCTTCTTTAATTCACCCATTCCCATATTAAATTAAACCGACTGAAGGGCATATCTGACGAATAATAATAATAAGTTGCCTTATATTTGATTTAATCATTTTAACCCCCCTGTAAATATTAAAAGTCGTTGATTTTTGCAAATAAATTTCGTCAGACTCCGGTATTTTTACTTACAAAAAACTCCTCGCTCACACAAGGGCGGCCTCCATAACATATGGAATTCTCCGAAGATTTTATTGGAAATTCAATATTGAGAAAGTGCAGTCAAGCATTTCAGATATTTTCCCAACCGAAAAATCATCATACGGGGTATTAACATAAATTTCTTAAAACAAATTTCCCTAGTTTATTTCCGCGCTGCCAATTCCAGCTCTCATTAAAACGCGACTCATTTAAATTTAAAACGTTTTCGGTGTAAAAACTGCCGCAAACTTCGAGATTGAATACGCCTTTGCAAAACAATAAGATTAAAAATAATTCGGACAAAACAAGCAATTAAAAAAGAACAGTGAAATTTTCTGTCCGACTTTCCTTTCTACGGAAATTTCGACACGTTGAAGTTGCTTTGTCTGTTTTTGGCCATCATCAATCAAAGTCTGTCTACCTAATTGAGTAGAGTTTGCAGTAATTAATTTTGGGAGTAAATATCAATTTATCCCATGCAGTAGCCCAATTTGGGCGAAATGGAATTATTAGAGGATCACGATGCAACCGCTCTACTACCCTTAAACTTCACATTCTTAATTAGAAAACTAGAAGGATGATTTTTTGTCCACCTTAACCTGACAACTTCCATCCAACTTCTTTACTTTAAGATCGTTGTAATAAGTAAAGTTTGAACAAATTTGAAATTCTAATCGGAATGAGCGTATTTTCATTTTTTTCGTAATCCTGACGAACTTAACTTTAAATAACAAATAGTGCAGAACACGAAAGTTTCATTTAGTAAAAGCAAAAACATTCTGGAGGATTTGGTTCCGGGCTTTTGTTTCAAATCTTTATCTTCCACCAGTCTGGATTTACGTACGATTTTTTATTACGACGCATAAAATTTGCATTGTAGTTCAGAAGTTTTAATTTATTCGTATAATACTCCAGTTTTTTAACGTATTGCAATAAAAACATAGTTATTTTTAGAGAATTAGATTTCCGATATTCGACTATTGGAAAAAATATAAAAAAGTGACAACATGAAATATTGGAAAGTTGTCTTCTTGCCTGTTTCAGCGACTCAGACTACTCAACCGAGTGGGGCCTTAGGGATATTAGATCTTTGTCTCCCGTGGATTGACCGTTGCTTAGTCCAACTTCTGACGTCGTCCTTAAACAGTACGAGAGAAACAACGAAACAATTTGACAGCGATGTCATATCTCGAATTAAGCGTTCAGCACGACGAAACGGTTTAAAATCAGTCCCACAGTTTTAATGATGACAATAAGTATTTTTTTTTACATTCCGATAATTACGAAACCATTTTTTCAAATTAAAAAAATGTATATTTATTCATCAGTTCGAGAGAACTCTCAAAGTATATTTTAACAAAAGATGTTTAGTGTTTATAATATGTACAATGAAGTAAACATTTTACTAAATACGAATCCAATTAAGTACAATCTAAAAATATTTTCCACTATACAGACTGTTACAAATTAGGCTACAGTGAATTTTTTCATGATCTGCGTACATTAAAAATAAAAATTTTGGTGGACGTATAAATCACAAGTATAGAAGCATATTACTTTGGATATTTTAAACAAAATTTGCTTAATTAATTTTGAATTGACGTTCTTAAATTTTTGGTGGGGATGATCATACAATACATTTTGTTCAGCGTTTTACCATCTACTCGATTTTCTTAAAATACTTACATGCTACTAAAATTTGCCAACAATTGGTCCGATAGTGTCGGAAATTATTTGCCTAATACAATTGACACAGACAGATGACAGATGACAAACGGAAAGGAGAGACGTATTTTTTCATACTCTATCGGGCACCAAACGTCGAGAAAACATGAAAGTAGCCATTCGCCGGAAGTAAAAGTATGGAGAAAGTAAAAAAAATATGTAACTCGTTCGCGAAATATCTTTACTTTTGCCGAACGAATTTTTAAAAAGTTTTAGTCAGTAAAAAGAATTACATATGGCAAATTCCTTTTATTCGCAACTATTGGTTTATTCGCGTTAGTCCATTTCTTGGTTGCCATTGTTTTAGATTGAGTAAGACGTAATTAATTCTAATATCCAAAATTTTAGGCAAATCCCTGGAAAGGGTAGCGAACTTTTAAGGGATTCGCAGATTTCGGTGTGAAACCATGTTTTTGAACTCTCACAACCTTATCCAAGAAATTGAGAAACATAGATACTAATATACTAGACAAAGAGCAAATATCAAAGCGGTCGTTTTCTCTATCATTGATTAGGTAGGTACATAAATACTAATTAACAGAGATATATCTCTAAATGCACATGTTTGTCGAACACGTTCAAGTTTGGTTAAAACAAAATGTTTCACTGCTTGCTGAGTCCCTACGCTAAAAAATAATAAATTCCTTCTTCGTTCTTAAATTTTATGACACGACTCTTAATTTATTACCTGCTTTTTTTATTTGGAGGAATTCTATATAATCATGAATTAAAAAAAAACGGGCCCATTTATTATTCATCAGTATCTGGTGGATTTATAGTGCAAGGAAATTCATCTTTACAACCGGCCTGTCTCGTTTATTCATATGAAATGCCCAGCTGTTTTAAAACATATCTCATGTTTCAATATTCTCCCATTCCTGAAAAAAAAAATAAGAGACTGTCCCTTGAATAAATCGCATATATAAACATACAAAAATGTACATTTTTATGTTCTGGTGAAAACTTTGTTCATTACTAAAACTTCGAATTTAATAAAAATTAGCTGCTAATTAATTATGAATTTCCTTAAGAGTGTCACTTCGTTTGGACTAGTCTGACTAATTGTAAAAATGTTTAATCTTACGTTATGATAAATTTTGTTATTCCTTGCGCAAGTATTATCTTCCTCTTCAAAATACATTAAAAATTGAAAGTTGGATTTAAATATATCCGTAGATTTTTGATCGTTAACAGCTTACATTCGTCGGGTCGATCCCGACTCGCATTTGAATAATCCCGAATTATCCTGCAAATGCATTTTTTATGTGCAGTCGCATCTATTCAATGGGAAAATGGATGAAAATTCCACGCTGCATACTCATATAAGATTTAATCACGGTCCTATCTTTCAATTCAAACCATTGTGCTGTACCGATTTAGCCGAATAATACGCTCACCCCTCTTCAATAAAACCATCATTTAGTCACCTCATGCTGTACAAATATATTTTCTTTTCCAGGGCCTTTTTAAGGATTCTGTGTGTCTGCTGTCCCAGACAAGTAAGACGTCGATATCAACCAGCTTTCCGAAGCAAACCGAGTCAGGTAATAAAAAGCACTTTTGAGACTTCAAAATCCCGAATGGACTTTAATCTAAAAAATAAAAATAAGCTATTTCAGATGATGGCACTTACCAACACAAAAACATTTTTGATATGAATTTTATGTAAAAAGATTTTCATTTTATTTTTTTTCCAGCTGAAACTACCATTCACAAGACATGCTTTAGAACAAATTTAACTCATTTTGGTTTTTAGGAGTGATTTTTTTTTAATAGGACATCGAATATGTGTAATTTATATTAATGGACAGTGCGTTTGTAAGTACAATGATTTGCCCCGACTGTTAACTGCAACCCCTATCTGCATTTTGCAGTAGTAATTTTTATTTTTCTTTACTGTATATAGCAGACTTTACAACAAAATATTTAGGGTAAGAGGGTCAGTTGAGGTTAATGAATGAAACCTATTATTATTAATACTCTTTTGTAAATACAAAAGCAAAAGACTTACAACAGGAAAGAGTAAACTTACCACCATTCTCGACCTTAAATGATTAAAACCAATTGTTCAACGTTCGTTGAACGAATTAACGTAAACTGAGTGTACATCTACAATATGTTGCAATTAAATGCGATGCTATTATTAATGTTTATTATTATTACATTAATCAACACATTTGATATTGTTGGCACGTTACCTATATGAGTGAGTCTCAGTTAATTTTCTATTTGTTCGATCAATTTTCTGTGTAGATGTCAACTCTTACCGAAACCAGTTTTATCTACGTTTGACAACAAATGTTCTAATTTAAAAAATGGAGTGCAGTCGACAAAAGTCACTGTGTTTCTGATTCGCCATTGTGAATTGACGACGCTTCCTTGTCCAACTTCAACTTGAGGACATTTTTTATTAGGACATTTTATTAATTTAAATTCAACAAAATCCTATTTATACAATTTTGGTGTTTTTACATTTTCTGTATCTGACAAAAAACAGTAACTAATAACAAAAAAGTTTCTAAAATTATTTAGACAAAAATTCCCTTCCCTTCCAAAACACTCATTTAAACAATTTTAGTTTGTTTGATAACCTCTAAAATCTTATTGTTAAACCTAAATAAAGTTAAAATAAAAATTGGGCTGGATTATTAAACTACAGGTAACTGCTATGGTTTCAAGTAACATTTTTTTGTGATTTCATCAACAACAGAAAAACAAAATAAACCGTTAATTTATTAATTTATTGCCACATCCTGTACAAACAATTCTAAATACAGGAGTCTAGGAAGAAACCAATAGAATTATGCTTTTCTGCACATAATAAATGAGATTTACTTTGCAAAATTTTGAAATGACATTATCAAATTTTTATAATCGTTGAAGAGGTAAATTCTGATTAGCAGTTTAGATTAAAAATTTATCAATGAACCATAGTATAGAAGCATACTATTTTGCACATTTCAAATAGAGTATTACACTCAACAGTTTTGGGGGGGACAAACAGACAAACTTTGGTTAGTGTTTATTATCTTCTACATCTACACGATATTCTTAAGAAACATAAATATATCCAGTAGTTTCGGAGACCATATGTCTGTCCAATAAAATCGCTAAGAGACAACAATCGACAGACGAACAACAGGCACATGAAAATGGGTGAACTACTTTTTCATATTGTATGAGCTATAAAACGTCGAGTAAAGGTGAAACTAGCATTCGTCAGTGGATCCTATTACAGTGCCTACCGGGCTTACACCTCGAGAAACAAAAATGTTCTTAAATGTCCATCGTCTAGGTGAATACAGTTACGCTGAGTTTCATAAAGGGCTTTTAAATTTAATCGTCGAATATGCATCACCGCAATGTTTGCCTCATATTATTTTCATGACAAAATTACAAAATAAACCGAACGAAGTCTTGAGGCCACATATATTTTCTAAAAGTGCTGTGTTTTTGGGCATTTACAAAGTTGTTCATTTAACACTAAAGAGAGTTTTTCAAAAAATTTCTTATGAGGTATAATCATACAGGCTGATTTCGAAACATACACAACTATAACCACGGCATCACGTACCGTAGTACTGTGGAAATATAGTAAAAAATTGGTCGAAAGTTATTTCGACAGAACTTCCCTCGCTCCTTAAGCGCAATGAAACATCCAGCATTTTCGAAAAATTATAAAATTTGATTATGCGAATTTTATTTTCTTTATGAGAATCCTTATAAGTTAAAATAAAAATATGTATGCAATGTTAAAGTAAATGTAACGAAGCGAGCTGGGTATACGTTCCAAATGAGTTTTTCCTTAACAAAATTTTGTGATGACGTCATTTTTGCAAAGACACTTATATCACTTTGCATAGGTACAGTGTAATACTAATTATAACAGTATTGTATTCCCAAATTTTCGGGAGGATTTAATCAATAAAATAAATTTACTCTTTCATTAATTTTTCTGGGGCACCCTCTATAATAAATTTAAAAACTTTTAATGCAATGATAAATCGCAAGAATAGACTCATCATATTTTGGGAGGCGATAAACGAATACATTTTGCTTAATGATTTACCACGATTACGATAACCTTAAAATATTTACAAGATTTCAGGGCATTCGGTTATACAGTTTCAAAGTTATATTACAAAATATTCTTATTAAGTTTTGAATTTTTTTCAAAAATTCTGAATGTCTGGGGAGAAAATTCGACACGCATTCATATACCACAAGTGCAGGAGTATCTTATTTTATAAAATTTCAAAAAAGTTTTTGTTATAAATTTTGGAGATGACGTCATCCAATTGGTGGTGGGGATGATTAGCCAAATTATAGTTAGCATTTAACCATCTACATGGTATTCCTAATATTGACAACAATCGGTCCAGTAGTTTTCGAGATTACTTGTCTAATAAAAATGGATACAGACACCAGGCAAACAGACAGACAGACAGACAGACAGACAGACAGACAGACAGACAGACAGATGGAAACGAGGGACCACTTTTTTCGTAATCTAGAGGTTATGATGTAAATACATTCAGTTTCCATTAAAAGTGAAACCGACTTTTTGCTGGTTATGATTTGTTCATTCATGTATTCATTCATCGTTAAAGGTTAAAGCGAAAGATTGTTAGTTGTAGAAACAGATAGTGGATTTTGGTAATGCTTTATGCTGATCGACTTTTTATTCTACGGATGTTTGATCCTTGTCACAATGATTCCACATTATTTATTTGAACAAAAATAAGAGCAACTTAGAATGCTTTACCTTTTTACAATAAAAGTTGAAAATGTTGTCCTTGACTAAGAATACAGGCTCTAGCACGTCGCAACATGTACGTACAGATACGTAAAAAAAACTCCGGGAGTTCCACGAACTGTACCGGCTGCCACTTCCAGTTGTTGTTGAAGCTCTTCGTTAGTTTCTGGATAGTTTTAATTTCCATAAACTAACTATGTCATCCAACCCCACAGACAAAAATCACACGGATTGGGATCAGGTGAACGCGAAGGCCAAGCTTCTGGGCCGCTTCTATCGACTCACTGATTAGGAAAATGGTTATTTAATCATTCAGTTATTGGCCTAGCAAAATGTGGTGGTACTCCATTATGCAAGTACCACATATGAACTCGTTCACCTAGAAGCACTTCCACATCTAGCTGCTCTTCCGACACATTATTTAAAAACTCAAGGTACTGTGCCGCGTTTAGTCTGTTTGGTAAAATATAAGATCCAACTAAGCGGTCATTTACGATACCGGCCCGCTTATCAGTGCGCCGCTTTTTTGGTTCTTAATCCTAATCGTTCACTGTTATGGTAGATCAAGAAATACTACCAGTGCCGATTATAACAATTTCTATTTAATTTCAAATAATTTTCTCTAGAGATTGCTACCACTTAAAAACGTCAATTTTACATAGTGCAATACAATAAATCTTTTTATGAACTATTCCCTATTTTTTTCATTGCACACATTTCGAAATCATCCTGTATATAACATCATAAGAACTACTGATTTAATCGAGCAAATTAAAAGGTTATCCCGAAAACATGTTGCCTAGGAAAATATCACGAGCGCAAACACCGACACGAAGGCGCGAGGAATATATTCCTGGGAAAATGTTGAGGGATAACCTTGCATATTTAAACGACGTTATAAATGAATAAATAGTTCGAATGATATTGGGAGGATTAATATGTAAAACGAAATCAGTAATTAAATTAATTTTTATTACATTGTCAAAATTGTGACACGCCTATCATCCCCGAATTTGAAAAAATAATCCTTTAAAAATGTTGGTTGTTGGCTTAAATAGTAAATCCACATCACCCATATCCAAAAATATGATATTAAACAGGAAAAAATACAAAAAAATATGGAAAGTTCTTCCGTTGCCGACATTCAAGATTTAATTGAAAAATCACTGCCGGAAAATACCGTGAAGACACAGAAATCTATACGGAATCAATTTTTTCTGCTCTGTAGGGAGAAAAAACATTTAAGGAAACAACAGCAGAGTAAGTAAACTTAATTTTAAAGGGCTGAGCAGTACATATGAAGGAAAGTAAGGGTGATGAATATAAAGAAGGAGTAGTGAAAATAATGTTTAGTATCGTGTCTAAGTTAATTCAAGAAATGTATTACAAGAATTATAAATCGAGCACTTGATCCTTTTAAAGTATCGTATTTAAATCTTCAAGAGACGTAAAACATGCGAAACGACGGCAGTTGCAAGCCATGCCATAGAAGAGAAAAGTTAGTTCAGTGGCTCTTACTATTAAAGAATATCAAAAAAATAACAAAAACGTTCGATGAAAATACGCCAGCAGGCCTTCAACTAAGTTCTACCAAATTGCTACGTTTGAATTGGCCAGGAGGGGTGGAAAGAAGATGCTATAATTATCTTATGGAATGTTTCAAGAAAGAAACTAGAATTGATGGAACAACATAAACATATTTTCTTTATTGAATTAAAAAAAGTTATTATAAATCCTTTTCTACAGGCACAATTCAATATATTACAGTTTTTAACAAAACAATAACTC